CATGTGCAGCCGTGCTCCTGATACACAGGTTTTTCCATAGAAATTCAAGCGGGAATATCTCGACAACCATAGGCTCGTTCTCGCTGAAATTTAAAATTTTGTACCAGGAGCGTATAGCAATTCAGGATCTGGCACGACAATCCCCCATGTGCAGCCGTGCTCCTGATACAGAGGTTTTCCAATAGATATTCAAGCGGGAATATCTTGAGAACCATAAGCTCTGTCTCGCTGAAAGTTAGAATTTTGTATCAGGAGGATATGACAGTTCAGGAGGTGGCACGACAGTCCCCCACATGCAGCCGTTCTCCTCATACACAGGTTTTTCCATAGAGATTCAAGCGGGAATATCTCGACAACTATAGGCTCGTTTTCGCTGACATTTAGAATTTTGTATCAGGAGCATATAGCAATTCAGGAGGTGGCACGGCAAATCCCCATGTGCAGCCGTACTCCTGATACAGAGGTTATCCCGTAGAAATTCAAGCGGAAATATCTCGAGAACCATAAGCCCGTTCTGGCTGAAATTTCGGATTTTGTATCTGGAGCATATGACTATCCAGGATGTGGCACGACTAGTCGGGCATATACCCTGATGCATACCTTTCTCTAATGAACTTCAACCGGGAATGTTTCGGCAACGATAATGATCTTCTGAATGTTTTGTGTCAGAAGAATATTGTATTCTAATAGGGTTTTTAATAGTTTACTTAACAACTAATTGTTCCTCTTGTCCAGTTTATATCGTGAATAGAGGAAGAAAAAAATTTTCACCATCTAAACTGAACTGTAGGTTGCGTAGTTCTTAGCTTGGTATCGTTTTGCATACATTAGAGTTTGTAAAAAGATATCAATTACCAGGTCTCACCACGAGGAGGTGACTACGCACGAGACCCGCCCTGGACATATATAAATGATTTGTCCCAGTTTTGATCAGTCGTTGTTTTAATTCGTTGTAGTTCTTTATCCATGAAAGTGTGTACCACCACGTTCAATTCAATAAGTAATTCTAACAGATGTAGTAATGCTGTCTATATTTTTAAATTTTAATTTTTATCATTATTAGTGCTGCAGTAAAAAGTTTGCCTGAATCGTTACAACAGGTTGTGAAAGGAAAATGGTAAGACTGCTCTTAGAACTCCCTATCGTGTGCCCAAAAATTGAATTGTGTGTGAGATCTAGTCATACACCTCGTTTGTGACGTGCTAATACTAATTATTTCTAAAAATATTGATTCGTGCACTATTAAATTAGAATACTAGGAAAGCTGAGAATGTAATTAAAAGAATGGTGTCATGTATGTTTTAATTACAATCTTTTGCAATTGAAAATTTAATCCATTTATTTTTGAAGACTTCACTGCTACGTAGCGATGAAATGTAAAAATTAATCGGTATTGCTACTTTTGTCGCTCATTATTGTGTTCTTGGTTGCTTTAGTTACAGACGGGATATCTCTGACCTGATTTATGCTCTTAAGCATAGAGTGCGCTAAAGATCTAGTAATTTTTTCCCTCCTTGGTTTTTCATACTTTCGGACACGAGGTTCTGTTTCACGTCTGTTCTAGTCTGTATTTTGTCGATGATCTATGTGACTTATGAATTTAATAAGAACATTTGTTTTCAAAGTAATCTTACAATTAGTAAAACAAAAGATATGAGAATAACTATACTTCGTTTATAATTTTGTGTCTCTTAAGTAATAATAAAAGTTGTGTAGTAGTAACCTAAACAATAGGAAAAGTTTTTGACACGTATATAATAATGTGACTCTTAATAAATGTTACAACTTTGATAATTTTTTTTAATGAAGATATTTACAATGTAGTACAAAATTTAATTTTAACAATGAATAATTCTTATTTCTTATTTCTTAATTCGTAATTCTTATTTCGAATCAAATGGTATGTTTAAATGAAATTATAGTTTTTAGACGTCAAATAACCTTTAAGTATCATACGTGAGAAAAGGAAAAAATCAAATTGACAGCAATGACGGATACTGTGTATAAATACATGAAAGTACAAAACAGACCTTATAGTATAAATGACTTAGTTTCAAATCTCCATAATGAATATGGCAAAACAGCTGTACAAAAAGCTATAGACAAATTGGTGACTGAAGGGAAGATATTTGAAAAAGTAGGATATTTATTACCTAATGTAGTAATAGATCAATTTAGCTAAAAGATTTTTGCATTAGGTCTATGGAAAACAGAAAATTTATTGTCCAGTTCAGGATTCGTCTCACGACATAGAAGAATTGATGAGAATAGACAAAGAATTACAGGCCCATGCTAATGAAGTTGAAAGCAAGTATCAAGAATTTGAAAGAGAAATCAAAGTACAAGAGGCTTTATTATCATCTATGAAGTCATCCATCACAATCGAAGAAGCAAGAAGACAAAAAATTGAACTTCAGAAGAGAATAGCACTATTGACAAATAAATTAGATGGATTAATGGAGGCAAGCGGGACTGAAGACTTGACTGAATGCAAGAAAAAAGCAGAGAAAGAACTAAACGAATATTCACGGGAATATGCAAAACGAAAGCGTTTGTGTACTGAAATTTTAGATTGTATACTGGATAATTATCCTGGTAGTAAAACTGAATTATATGAAGAAATAGGAATAGATCCAAAAGTTGTTCAATGATATGTGCATTATCAATTTTTGAATGTAATAAATTGTAAATTGTATTTTATATTTGAGTAATTCTTTTTTCTAGTATTTCTATGCGTATGTAATTATTTAAATTTATATTTTAAATTATTTTTTAATTAACTGATAATTACTGTTATAAACTAGTTTATATGTAACTTATAAGTTTATTCGTAATGATATTCAATAAATTATCAAATTATTTAATTATATTCGTAAATAGTATTGTATATTTTTACTGTAAAATTATTTCTATTGTAAGCTGTGTGTTATGTTAATGAAAATTATTATTTTGCTTCGTTTATATTAGTATATATCATTATCATTTGGTATGGAAGTGTATTATTCACACAGAATATTCATCCTTCATTATTTCTGTTCTTTTTAATGCAGATTCAAAATATATCTCGTAAGAAAATCATAAGAAAAATACAATATTTACAGTATTGTAATTTTTAAAGATCTTCATAATTTATTATAATATAATATTTATATAAAATATAACTTACAAAGTCATTTTCACAAGAAGAACCATTTACTGGTATACACAATTATTAATTAAACAATTAATTAGTTAAACTATGAAATTGTATAAAGACATATCACATTAATTTTCGCGGTAACATGCGCCTTGTCATTATGGCTTTTGCACTTGCTATTTACGCTAAAATAAGTTATATGAATTAAACTGAATTTCTATATGAATTAAAAATAAATTTTAATTAATTTTTTTAAAAAGAAGATTTATCGAATTTATATTTGTAACTCTTGCGACAAAATGATTTGCTATACTAATAATTAAAGATATCTCTGTTCGTCTGGAGTGTATATTGATTAATATGACCCATAAAAACATTGCGAAATTGATTTATGTATAAATGTACTTAAGAGATAGTAGAATTGGTCGTTAAGGAATAATAGATCAATCCGAGACTGTTAAGGGATAGTGGAATAGGTTGTTAAGAGATAATAGATCAATCCAGAATTGTTACGAGGTAACAGATCTTAAGTACAATAAATTTGCGATATATATTTCTGTAGAAAAATCTTATAGTAAAAGCAATATTAATGAATATTAAATTAAAGTTAAATTTAAAAAATATTAAAAGCTATTAAATATAGTAATGGAATAGAAAATGTATAGTTGTAAAATGTAGTATTGGATGTTTTAAAATAAAATAATTTATAAAAGTTTAACTAGTAATTCTGTTCGATGCTTAAGATTTAATTATACGATGATTAAGATGATTAATAATTTATATAATACGTTTGAAGGAGAAAATCCTTGTAAATCCCTGTAAATTTCGTGTGAGCTAGAATTTTATTAAGATTGAGTTGAACGATTTATTTATAAACAGGTACTTTGGAATAATAGAAGGGAAAGATTTTTCTATATTTTAAGGTGTGTAATGATCCTAAATGTACGAAGTACATGAGAAAACTGATTCATCATTTTATTGACAGTTCATCATTAAATTGACAATTATACAAAGAAAAGGGACAAAAAGATTTTCTAAAATTTGTCTTTCAAATATGTACATTTGTATCACAATGTATTATCATTTCTAATTAATGAATGCCGTCTACAAGTATTCAATTATCTTTTCCCAATTATCAATGCTTAAAGATAACGATATAAAATATAAGTAGTTGAAACACATATATACTATCAGGCAGTCCAATAATTATTTCAGTATTTTCTTAATTCTCTAAATTCAGCGATCTAATTTGCACAAAAGATTTGTAAAATATATATATATATATATAAACCAACAAAAAGGAACGCACGGTTCCGTCGTATAATCACCATTTATTTTCCTTGTGCTACAATTCTCATGATTTTAAGGGAAGCTCGTTTTCTCGCGTGTGCTTGCGCGTCCGTAGCTAACACGCTCGCGTGAATATTTTTATCATAACACAAAGATCTCTTGCGCGATGCACCGAATAAATATACGATCGAACTTACATAACGGATATAACTGATTGAACGTTTTCATTCAACGTGTCTTCACGCCTGTTGTCTGTACAAAGCTCCTGCGATACTATTCTTAAAAAAAAAAAAAGAAAAAGAAATACAGAAGAGAAAGAAGAAAGAAACAGAGAGAGAGAGAAAGAGAGAGAGAAGTTATATTCTGGGTAACACAGTGAGATTATGTAACTACTTAATAAAAATTGAATTGCACATTCGTTCTTCGTGCGGTTTCGACCACCAGAGCATTTAAGACTTCGTAAGATGTCTGGTCTTTCAGAAATCATGCTGACCGAACGACACGATGTGAATCACATGATTCGCCTAATGTCCCAAATCTCTCCAATGGAAAATATGGTCTGCTCCATGAGCTGAACGCGTGCTGAGTGCGCGCCACGAGCGTTCGATGTCGAACCTGCGGTGGTCTCTGGATGCGTAGCCACGTGAACTCCTTAACGAACCGGAAGAACCGTTTCAACGTTGCCCATCAAGCGGCACAGATCGTCTTTAGGGACGCGCAGCAGCGGGTTTTCATAGATTGCAAATGGCACAGCCATGTTCTCAGCCTGTCAATCAGCTCCGCGCAATCTGACCCCTCGTCCACGCACTCATCGCCCTCTGGTTCTAAAAAGAGATTAACATAAACCTAGTTTTCTTTTTTTCTTTTTTCTTTTTTTTTTCACGTTGAAGTATTTTTGATTGTATTAAAGAGGAAGCGTTGATACCAAAGAGGAATTCGGAGACCTGTACTTATATTTTATTTGAAGAAGTTGAAATTTAATTTCTAAAAGTTTCAAGGATCCGTGCACTCTGTGCACGTCGTTAGTTAAGTAAGACAGAATTCATTGTTTTTTTAAAACTTACGTAACACTTTAGGAAGGTGATTAATGTTGTTGTTTGATTTATAATATTATGTACAAGTAAGGAATGATCTGAGACCCTGAAATGAAAACTGTGAAGAAGAAGTGATTATCATAAATATGATACATCTACTCGGAAACAGAAAATAGTTACTCCACAATGAACAGGAAAAGACACCAAGAATATCGAAATATATGATACGTTTCACGTAGGATTATCACAAGTTATTCATTGAAATAGCCATAGTATATACATAGAAACACTGGAGAAGGGAAACGAAGGTAAACGGAAAGTATTCACTGTCTCACAAGTGAATTGCCACGAGTTCACAGAGTTGGGGGAACACTGACGATGAAAAATGCGACGTGTCAATTTGTCACCATTTCAAATCACCTTGTTATAGCGTTTTTTACGGCTACGCTGTTCGTGGACGATGATTGCAAGAAATGATCGGGCAAATTAGATAAAATAGCAAAGAAGAAATGGAGGAGACACCTGCGTACAATTACAAATTATACTTAATTTCGCTGTACAGAGAAGGATGAAGCAAGAAAAATGTTATTACAGAATGAAGTGAGAAAATAGGCAGGGAGGAAAGTCGTCGGTAACGATAACATTTAACTCGGACACGATATCGACAGAAAAGACAAAGAGGAGGAGTCTTGTAACCCCAAGAAGAAAGTGAATACATATCGTTGGCTTTTGATACAGATTTCTCTTACCGCGAGCATCGCCCTGAAGACCGTTTTGATCCCGTTTGCCTGATGCTGCGAACCCCGTGCTCACCGTACTCTTATGCCTGAACGGGCTAATTTTCGGATAATTCAGATCGTTGATCTTTGACATCGGACTAACCGTGTAGTACGAATAATTCGTATACCTCCTGGTAGTGGTACCAGCAGCGTATCCGTTCTTACTATAACTATTATTGTCGTTACTATTGTTTACTTTAGTCTTGTATTTATTGGCGTACAAATAACTGGCAGTGGTGTAGGTGTATTTGGTCGCCGGTGTGGTGGCGGACGATGTGACGCGTTTGTAAGGATTGCTCGTCGACGAGAAGAGATTCGACGACGGCGAGGAGTATTTGAATTTCGATTGTGGCGTGCTGTGTGTCGTCGATTCCCACGGATACCTGTGTGACATAGCATTACGGGGCGAGGATTATCGATGGTACAGCATTGCTCGGTGATCTGTTCTCGAGTTGGTCTCAGAAAAGTTGGACAAATATTTTTTACTACTCGATTACACATCCGCCAAACACGGAGAAAAAAATTGTTGCTTATTAAACAATGTTGGACTCTCTAGAGTCTTTGCAATACATATTAAAAATACGTGACTATCTGGACGACCATTTGAAAATGCATGACAACCACCTGAATAGAAAACTGGCTTTACTGGTTACGACAGTGATTAAATATTTTGATCAACGTATTTTCATGACAATCGTTTAGATATCATCGACTACGACAAACGAAATTACAGATTTTCGAAATTATATCGATTATATCGCGTATTATATTTAGTATATTACCTGTACTCTGTATTGTTGTATTGAGCATATAGAGGCCGATTGAGGGCTGTTGGGTTGAAATTGCCGTCTCGGCGCACGTACGTTGGAATGTTTTGCGTGTAATCTGGTATAATATTCTCGTGTTCGGCCACACATTTCCCGTTCAGGCAATACTGAAATTTTCAAATACTGAAATTACAATCAGTGATCTCGCGAGAAGAAGACCGATATAATAAGGTAATAAGAAGATATATTTTTTTCTAAATTCCTGTTTTCTAAACTAATGCCAGAGACGAAAGGAGTATTTTATACTTGATACAATCTCTTCTTCGTTATTTTGATAGAACAATTTAAATTCTTTATTGCTAGGTATATTTAATGAACGTTTTTTACCTGGCCGTCTCCACAAGCAGAACCTTCCGCCGCTGGACGATAGGCCACGCAGTATCCTGAACCAGCGTCAAAGCAAAATAGTTGAGCGCAAACTCTATCGTCTTTCTGAAACGTTGAACGATCATTTTATTGACACGAAACTAACGATATAATGGATGAAAAGATGAATTGACGTTGTAAAGCTTACGAAACAGGCGCTCGTTCCGCGATCCTTTCGACATTGTGCATCCAACGAAAGAAGTTTCCCAGGTAAAACTCGAGGAAGAGCTTCGTCTTCGTGAGGTGCGTTGTACAAGCACGTTGCTGTGTCACCACTGGAATGGAAATATTGCAGTTTGAATGGTTTCAAGTTCAGAGAACAATTGAAAGTAGCAACAATTATTTGAAAAAACATTAGAGAAATTAATTTAGCCTGCGAAGATCGCATAAATTTTCATCTGTGTACACATTGGCTCATAAAAGTATCTGAACGTTTTGTGACCACAGCAGAATATATAATAATTGTAATTTCTAGATTTCTAAATTTTCAAACTTTATCATGATGGCCGAGTCTCATTATTTATTTTTATTATAGTTAATAAGATTTCGAAATTGTACAACTTACAATTCGTGCAATTTTGTGATTAATTTAATTAGAAGATAATGATAAATAATCGATAATAATAATAATAAATACTAATCAATAAGAAAAATTTCGTAATTCCTACTATATAGTAGTTCTCGAATACTTTCGTGAGCTACTATCTAAAAAAGTGACAAGGGACTGGACAATTATGACACAGTCAGAATTAAAAATACAACCACTAAATCAGGATTGGACATAACTTTTTGTCAGTTATCATTTGGGAATACTTGTTTCTGGTGAATATTTTGACCACAAAGTATGTTTGAAATCTCCTGATTTATCTCCTGTGTATTTTTCTTCGTTTCTTCCTCTAATTTGACAACGAGCTCTTGAAATAATATAATATAACCGAGAGGTTCATAAACCAACTGAATGAATCATACTTCAAGAAATGGTGAAACGACGACACGCTGCAATGGGACCATTTAAAGCCTTTCTCGGTGTGTCTGAGATCACTCATAATGTAGCCATCCTCCCAGCGACATTTTTCGGCCCCTGGACCTCCGAGGTAGCTGGGTGGTGGCGAGCCATCGTGAACTGCGCCAAGCCTATGATATTTGCATTTCAATGTCATTTTATCCTTCATTCAAACGTGTTTTCAACACAAATCAGCATTATTTTTAGAGAACACAAATTTTTCAAGAGTAACGGCGCGAAATATTAACGGATAAAAATAGATAAGAACTAAAGTGAATTTAACGAAAGACATTATTTTACCTTAATAGTAAAGAATGATATTGTTATTTTTGACTCGCAGTCTTGTTTTCGTCTTTTTGCTAATTTATGGGATTTTAAATTAATACGCTTTTTGAAAATTTAGAGCGACCAGAACTGGCATTGTTAACAATGAACAATTACGTCCCGGATGTGACATTAATAAAATCACAACTAACCAGCGTAATTATAAATTATAACTGCAAAACAGAAGCCTAACTTATAAGTATAGACTATGGATTTTTATGCGATTATTCATATTGTTGGAGGATATCATTTAAAAAGTAGAATCTTGATGGAAAATTATTTTACCAATCATTGTACCAAGATATACTTTGGTAATATATATATAAAAAACCCGCAGACTACTCGTAACTTGGTAATTTATTAGTATTATTGTTGTTGCGCAAAAAGATACAACTGAAACGACCAAGTTCTACAATTTGTAATTCTCGAATTTTCGAATGGAAATGACGAGTGGACTTACAAATGGCCAACTTCGTGTGCTGCGACGATAATCCCGCTAAATCCGCCCGTGTCTTCGATAATAGCCACCGAATTCACTTTTTCTAGGCGTTTATTCACGACGCAAGCTCCACCCACGTACGCGAATCCTGAATAAATGTACACGATTAGTTTGAAACAATTTCTATCTTTACATATTGCAATTAAAAATGTTAATGTCAGTTACTGAGTTCAGACGTTACTTGGTTTAGACTAACAAGAAGCTGCATTTTTAGCGAGTTAACGTTTGTACCACTACATAATACGCGAACGTGTCTTTAATTTCGAGAACTTTTATGTTAATTTAATTTAGATGCTACAATAATCAATTGATTATTATTATCATGTGTATGTAATGGATCAGCATCGAATTCAAGCGAACGTTTTGGAAACCTTTGAACTTTAATCTAAATGGTGATGGTAACATTAATATTGCCATTCATATTGAAAAGTTATGTCAAGAGGAAAAAGTAACCAGTCGTTGATACGAGGAAGTTAGATTTGGAAGGAAGACGAAAATATTGAAAAAAAATTAGTCGAAATGTATCTGCGACGATCTGATACTAACAGTAACAGTAAGTTAGTGAAATTAAATTATTTTCCTAAGGCAAACTCGACATCTTCCTTATTATAATTGAACATCTGTGAATACAGTTATTATTTAATCAATTGCTTCTAAATTAAACAAAACTATTTATATAATTAATATTTCCATTACATTACTGTCGAAACAAACCATTACGAAATCTTTGAATCTTTTGGAAAGTATGTATTTCAAACTGTTACTGAAACTTGAATGATTCGAAATTTGAATACACCTTGCTGGAATCCACGATCGTATCGCGATAATCCAAGTTCGTAGATATCGTAGATAGAATCACGACTCGATCGTTGATATACGTATGTAACTGGTATTTGAAAGTGAGTACCTGCTGCAATCAATCGTATTGCAACGTGAATTCAGCCTGAATTATGAAATCATTTCTGCTGTCCTTCGTATCGTATTTGAAGATCGTTCGTTCTCAAAAAACGAAGACACGTTCTTTGGTAAGATGTTACTATTATATTATATTAGATACGAAATTCTAGCGAATATTTAGCGATGGTTATTACTCTGTTTAATTAAGTAGACGATTAATTAGAGAAAGCTGGAAGATAACTGTTAGGCCTTTTCTAAATGGGCGTCTCTTAAAAGTTTCTTGGAAAACACGTAACACTTATTTATTACTATCTGAAAAATATATAACAACCTTCCTAAAGTTATAATTTAATAACAAATTTTATAATAATCAGACAGCGTTAAATTTATATAATAAAGTTCAAATTCTGATTAAACAGTAAGTTAATAAATTAGTAAATTAATGATATGTACAATAAAATTATTTGCTACCTAAGGTTACTTAATCTTACGTTACATTTAATTTGAAATTAAACTGATCGTTTAAATTTAATATATCGGGCTATTAAATGAAATTTACTGTATCGGGTACACTAATGTATCAGTTGCGACTTAGATTCTGTTTCGAAATTTTCGTTTCCGCAAGAACGTTTTAAGAAAACGCGTTTTAGACACCCAGTTTGAGAGAAAAGAATTATAGCTGATTGTAAACGGGCAGCGTGCACTTGTTAATTTACGTCGATTAAACCAAAGCTTTCGAGAAAAAAAAAAAAAAAAGAAAATATCAGGACTCTTTGTCTATCGTGAAAATCGTGTCAAAAGTCAAATCGTGTTTCCTCGGTGATAATTTTTTCAACAAGCTGGAAAGAAAAGAAAGAAATCTCTACTTGATGTTCCTCGCTCGATTTGTTCTTCACCTCAAACGCGATTCTCGATCGCTTCTTGACTAGAATCAGACTTACCAACCGTGGTCCTCGTCAGTAACGCAGCCAAAGAAGCAAAAAATGTCGGCGTGAGTGATTGAAAGGGACAACACAGTGAACAGGATACACAGAGGTGGATACTATTTGTCGGATTATCGTTGGACTAACGAGGTACCATCAGGATCGAACGATCAATTTGAAAGAGTTCCATGTGTGAGGCAAAATGTGTATAGGAAAGTAATTGCAAAATTACGATTGTGATGCACGTTTGCACGTGAAACACAAAACAAAGACACACACACACACACGCGCGCACACAAACACACAGAAACAAACTAGAAAACCGTAGCCACTGTGCAAAAGAGTGAACGAGCTGAGAAGATTCACAAAATGAAGAGAACTTTCTCACAGAAATGAGAAACTTTTCTTTCTCTTTCTTTTTTTGGTCAAGCATAATTGACCGCTTTCGTTTTCGACATACTGTACGCTCGCGAGTGAGAATCACACGGGGGAGAGTGAAAGAAAGACAGAGTGAGAGTGCGAGAGAAGTGGAGGAAGGCAAACTTGTGTCCCAAACTAAGAAAAGTGAGATCCAGAAACAAGAAAACACGCGTGGCAGCAAGCCGCGAACAGTATATTTTACGCATTGGCCGCTGTTTTCTGTTCAGCCATTCTTTTTTTTTTTTTTTTTTTTTTTTTTTTTCCTTCAAGTTCAAACGCACAGAGCGAAGAAGGTTCGTTCAAGCTATTAGAGAGTGAGAACAAACACAAGTATAGACCAAAGCAACGTGGACGAGTTTAAAATGGCACATTTTATTCGAGGCTTTTCCAAAATGTACATACTTTGCGAGAATCGTTCCAGTGTTTTGTCAAAGACAACAGTGCGACGAGTAGTTTGAATCGAAATAAAGTGAATCTTTGATTGCAAGTACTAAGTAAATAAATAATAACTAAAAAAATAAAATAACTAAACAGATGTAAACGATATAATGAAACAGATTGAGTAAGTTAATTAATTAATTGTTGAAGAAACAATTAAATTTTGTTGCAGTAATATAATTTATAATGTTGTCTATTTTTCAAGTTGTTCGAAAACCCTCCTACGATCCTTCAATTTTACCCTTATTTCAGCAACTAAACAGGATGCATGATGTTTTAATGAAATATTTTACACAAAAATCATGCATAATGATAAGATGCCTTTTTAAATTTAACCCTAGTTAAATTTAAGATGGGTAGTTTTTAATTTTAGAGAAATACGGTTTGCTCGAGAATCGAAAGAACGCAGCAGGGTTAAATTTTACAAATGTTACAGTGCAAGTACTATAATACAAGTTGTAAATTTCATATATTCTTGGTATTTAAAATTTTTAATTTAAACTTTAAGATCTCGAACAGTATGTACCATGAAAGAACCCTGGTTTGTGAAAGCTCGAGAACTTCCTTCGTCGTATATTTTCAACCATACGATACACAATCTTTTTCCATAGAGTTGCAGCGAAAGGAATTTTAGAATGGAGAAATAAAAAAAAAAAGGAGAAACAAAAAGAAAAAGAATGTTCGCAGAGCAGTGCACATAGATAGGAGATCAAAGACAATTTTCTGTTCTCGTCAAATCTCGTTTCTTTCGAACCCGAGAAACGTACCTGCGGTTCCTCTATTGCACACGTCATTCGCGTATTGCCTCCTGCACATATCTAATCTGTAACGCAACAACAAAAAAAGTTCCTCTTTATCATCCTCTCTGTTTGTCTTCGGACCACGTCACGGGACAATTGTTTGGAAAACGTGCCGCTCGCATGTGTCTAATGAATCCTCTAAAGTATATAATATCCCGTGTAACATACGTATATGTTATGTTCATTCTGAGAACCTATCGTGTTTTTCACATATACTTTCTATTAAATCATGATACAGTAATGTACAGTAGTCTGTAATGTACAGTGATTGATTGTCGGTGTGTAAGGAAGATGTACGAAACACTGATCGTTCAAATTTATCTCTTTATATCTCAATTATTCAATGATTAATAAAAAAATTATTACAAAGAATGAGAAATATAATATCAGTAATATAATTTTAGTATAATATTTTACAAATCGTAGAGAGATAAGAAATCTCCAGATTTATCATCCATAGAAGGCCTTTTCTTCTTTTTGTTTATTTAATGAATGCGCGTAAAAAGTCTGGAAGCTTGCTATCTTTCTCTGATTTACAAAATACAATTCTGTAATGTATACAAATATTATATTTTATGTGGACAAAACACATTCTTTCAATAAATTATTTAACGAATGTTGAACATTTTATTTTCTATGGTATTTATTTTATATTAATCTTTTTATTTATTACTATATTATATTCGATATTTTAATGAATCATCTATGCGATAAAATTAATTGAATTTAATATACATATATATATATATATATATATATATAATATATATGCAATTATTTTCGTACAACACAATAACCTCCTGTCTACTTCACAGTGATACAAATAACTATACTTCGTATGTTAATAAATTCATACAACAAAAATCTACTAAAAAATACTAAAGAAAATATACTAAAGAAACTGTCTCCAGAAGAAAAATAAAAGGACGCATGCATTTTTCGTGCAACGAAAAGTAATTAAGATATAAAACGATAAATTTCCGACATCCAATGGTCAAACGGTAACATTCCATAATACGCATTCTAAAGAATTAATGTCGTACGTGAAAAATCGTGTTCTATTGAAATCATTACGAAAGGCATCGCAATAGTTAATGGTATTGATTCACGAGGAGCGGCATTCTCACTTGACTGATAAGGAAAAGCAAACAACCGTGATGAAGCGATATCACACACCGTGTGTCCGAGTATGTTCTCCTCCTTGTTGAGGACGCGGCTTGCGGAAGGCGATAGCGTGGAATTACGGAAAAGCAAACACACTACGAGTAGCACGCGTGTAAATAATTGCCAATTAGCGAGAGAGTTGCATCTCAGGTATGAATAATTACATCCAATTCCTCTTTAACAGCTTTGGAATCGCGTTGTTTCCTTCAAATCGCACGACAGAGTACCATATATGCGTTTAAGACGATCTCGACTGTTGAAAGAAGAAGATATTACATATACAGCTGGCTCGCCAAAGTGTTCAAGCACTTGTCACACTTTGGACAAATTTTTACGTACAATGTATCCTGTAATGTGAAACATTTCGAAACATTTCATTCACATTTGTGACGAAAGGCAACTACTATATTGGCAAAGTTTGACAATGTATGTAGATGTTGCAATGTAATGTAAGTACATATCCGGAAGTCGGAATTGAATATTGCGTAGCATATAATATTGTATAGCATTAGATATTGCAATGCAAGTGTATGGAATTTATCGCGAACATGCATTTAGGAAAAATAAATACACATTTGAAAATAATACAATCAATGTTAAAGATGATTCCACTGAATATTAACTACGATACTTTTGTAATTGTTACGAATATACATCTTGTAAGTTGTCTTCAGATTTGTTTTTATCGCTGATATAATCGCAATGGTTGAGCCTGAAAAACAGTGCTGATAAATTTTCAAAATGTTTCACATGACACACATAATACATGGATAAAAAGTCCCTGCAAACGTTTGAATTCTTTCGCGAGCAACTGTAGTTGAAGTGATAACCTTTTCTAAAATATGTACAATGAGGCTTGTTATTGTGATTTACTGGTCTTGGACATTCAAATGAAACTTTCGACACTATGTACACATGCTTGTTGAGTCTTAGATTAAAACAGTTTGAACGGAAAGTTTAAAGGATACGTATGTAGATTATGCTCTTCAATCTGAGTGGTTTCTGTGTTCGACCGTATTCGTTGATGATAAATTTGTACGCTATAATTATAATTAAAGTTTAGTAGATTCGTGACTAATAACAGGCAAAATAAAAAAGCCAACGCGCGCGCGCGTGTTATTGATTACGTGTATTAGTGGTACCATTACCTATTGAAGTTCAATTCTACTTTACATTCTATTTCGTTTCTACGAGAGAAACAACGAATTTGTGCAATGTTTCACAAGCTTGTTCTTCACTAAAAACAGCGTACACTATTTTTAAATAACTACAAGTTTGATATTCAACACCGTATTTGCGCTAAATTAACTTCAACGCATCAAAAGGTTTATACTTTCTCGTTTGATGAAACGAAGCTTCTCTATCATTAAATTTAGTTCATTATTTCAAAAATTATCAAACTGCACACTGTGATATTTCTTTTGCTTTCTGACTGCCACGGTGTTTCTCTTCTAATAAATATTTTAGAATGATTAATATCTTATTGGTAAACAGTGACACTAAAACAATATAAGATATTAATATCAATCATTTACAGTGAAAGTAATATTATTAAATGAAAAATGTGCTCTTACAATTTGTTATCAATGTGAAATAAAAATAGATAGCACTATAGCTGATAATGGTATCTTATTGTAATGTAATATTTTACGAACATTAGTTACATAATTTAATAATTACAATTACACATTTACATATGTATGTTAATTATAATTTTACTAAAAGTTAATCTTAGATAATTTTAATAAAATTAATTTTAATAAAAGTTAATCTTAAAAAGTGTGGCAGCTAAGGTGTGAAATGAAACGTCTACGTTTCATTTATATTTTTGTGGAAAGTAACATCAATGTTAAATATTTCAGAATATTCCAAACGAGAAAGAGCACCACTTTTGAACCGTTTACCCCCATAAACGCACCCATTCCCCATCGTGGTACGCCACTATTGACATTACTCTTATACTACGTTTAAGCTACGAGTAATGTACAATGCCAACTACGTTAAAAGGATATTAATAAAAATAAAACGAAATAAAAAGAGAAACAAACGGACAAGTTTGAAAAAAGAAAAGCGTGATCGCTATGTAATAAACCATACCGGCAGTTCCCTTAGTGCAGCGGCCGCCTTTCCTACGACGGCACATATCATACCTGTTTTGCGAAATAAAAATCAAACAGTATGAAATCACCAGACAGCTGTGTGGTAAAACAGTAATAGCATAATGTCGGGGCCATAGAACGTATTCGTTATTGCGTGAAATTCGATCGAAATCCGCGCTCCTTAAATATTTCTAAGCGCTTTCTCCCTTTCTCTCTCTCTCTCTCTCTTATAGTTCCAATCGTTACAATAATCGTTTTTTTCCTTTCGAGTTTCACCGTTCTTCGATTTGCTCGATGAGAAAAGAGAAACAAATCGTTCAACCCTCAAGCCTAATTTGAAACTGACTTAATTTCACTTTGATCTGATGAATTAATAATCGTAGATACGACGTACGATTTATGTGTAATCTCGTTGCCAGGTTGCGAATTTTTATGTAATGATACTGTGTAAGAAAATATAGCAGAGTTGCATAATCCTTTGCGATATTTAATTTCTGCTAGAGCCACGTTAATTAATCAATCAATCATGAAAATTCGAAATTAATTAATTTTTCTGATTGCCAGTTCGGTGTGAATTTAAATACGTGCGCTTATTAAACCAGAGTCCGAAAGTCCGCTTAAGGGTTGAATTACGTTGGCATCGAAAGATGAAGAGAGAAAAAAAAAAGTGAACAAAAAAGGGGAAGGGGAGAAGATTCCGTATGTTAATCACGTGAAACGTAATGTGGAAATTAAATTGAACCGAAAGAAATGTACACTCTTACTTTGTGACGGCGACAGCGATGTCGTACACCGGAAGTCGTCTCTCTCGGAAGAGATATTTGCCCATGTCGGTCAACGCAGCTGCCGAATCGATCGCGTCCCGTCCAACGCGATTTCTTTCCAAATACGGCGTAGCATCTCTTCCCTGGAAGATATTGTTTAAAGAAAAAAAAAAAAAAGAA